ATTGAGTGATTAGTAGGTTAATGCATCTTTAACATTTTGTTAGCGAAGGGATTTAGCCATTTTATATCATTAACTTTATGAATTTACTTTTTGTATGAATGATTCATTGTAATATAAATTGAACTACACCACATTTGAAATATATATATATATATATATATATATATATATATATATATCAAATTGAACTGCACCATATATATATATATATATATATATATATATATATATATATATATATATATGATTCATTGTAATATAAATTGAACTGCACCATATATATATATATCAAATATGTTGTGCAGTTCAATTTATATTACAATGAATTATTATATATATATATATATATATATATATATATATATATATATATATATATATATATATATATATATCAAGAAGGAAAAAAATTTAATACATTATCGAAGAATTCGGTAATAAATTTAAGTTAAGTGGTGATTCAGCTTCAACATTTTGCTGACATTGAGATCTAAACAGAAGACTAAATTTGTTCTCTTGGCCTCAACATTTTGCTGAAATTGAGATCTAAACAGAAGACTAAATTTGTTCTCTTGGCCTCAACATTTTGCTAAAATTGAGATCTAAACAGAAGACTAAATTTGTTCTCTTGGCCTCAACATTTTGCTGAAATTGAGATCTAAACAGAAGACTAAATTTGTTCTCTTGGCCTCAACATTTTGCTGAAATTGAGATCTAAACAGAAGACTAAATTTGTTCTCTTGGCCTCAACATTTTGCTGAAATTGAGATCTAAACAGAAGACTAAATTTGTTCTCTTGGCCTCAACATTTTGCTGAAATTGAGATCTAAACAGAAGACTAAATTTGTTCTCTTGGCCTCAACATTTTGCTGAAATTGAGATCTAAACAGAAGACTAAATTTGTTCTCTTGGCCTCAACATTTTGCTGAATTGAGATCTAAACAGAAGACTAAATTTGTTTTCTTGGCCTCCACCTATGACAATGATACTGAGTTGAGTCATATGATTTGTCTAAAATTAGAACTGTCATTAATTTTCAAAATAAATCAAAAAAATTTACAGATCTTATTTCAGAAAATAAGTACAAACGAAAAGCAAAGTAATCGTGTATTTAAATTCGAAACAAAATGTTTGCAATCGAATAACAGATTATAAAAAAAAGAATCAGGAATCTTAAAAACGTGATATGTAATTTTGCACTTTTTGATCCCTGATTAGCACCCCCGTCACTTTTTATTTTTTTTGTGGCCCTGATTGTTCTGAAGAAGAACTGACAATTATGAGTTGGAAAATTAATTTCAAAGAATATAAGATGTGACAGAGAAACGAGATGAGTACACCCGTGTGGATAAAATAAAATTTTTGTAATTCTCAGATGTTTGTCGAATGAAACCGACACCTGAGGAAGTTCGGAAATTCAACAAATCGAACAAAGAAAAAAACAAACAACAAAGGAAAACAGCTTCATTGAATTAAAGATCAAGAAACTTTTTTAATTTATGAACTTCATTTGCGACAGAGTATGTCTATATTTCTGAGATGAGGTATTATGTACAGTATTTACATTAGTCGGACTATTGTCCTCATCTTTGTCGCCATATTTGTCACAACGTTTCGGCCGTTGTACGCTCCGGCCTTCTTCAGGTGGTTGGAATTTCGAACTGAACCCTTTATTTCGCTCACCACGTGCCATGTTTGATGGATGTCAGTTATCAGTTATCTCCTGATAGTCCGACTAATGTAAATACTGTTCATTTGCGACCCTTTCTACTTTTATCCGCTTTCAGGACAATGGCTGTCTATAATACATACACTATACTTTGTAGGACTTTGCAATGTTTGTCGTTTTACTATCCCCACCTCCCTGTTCTGCCACCCATTCGTCCTAAGCTCGTTAGACAGGTCACTCGCTGTTTCACCTTTCAAATCCAGTCTCCGGGTAAGTGAGTATCACATTTTCCAAGCCACCTTTCCTCATTATGTGTCCCCCAAAAGGTTTAACTAAGTGCTATTTTTGTGTCCATTTTCCTTAAAATTGTTTCGTTGCTCACAGTCTCCGTCCTTGGTACCTTCAACATTTTTCTGTAAAATCCACTCTATGTTGCCTCAAGTCTTCTCTTCATCTGTGAGGAAATTGTCATTATCATATAGGAGGATTGATATCAATTCAATACACATATAATTCAGTTTGTCGTTTGTTTGTTTAAAGGTATATCAACTCCTTCAGTTATGTGCCATATGTGATACACGCTTAAGCGATCATCTATCTTTCGATACATGACTGACGAGGCAGATTTTTCCCGCAGTAGGTTGCCATTTCCTTTTGCGGAAGACCAGTGGCCATCCAAGGCTATAGAACCCGGTCTGTCCCGCTATTTACCTAGAGAAGGGGGGAGAATATGGTTTCATACCTTTCACAAGGGTATTAGCACGTAAGTGAATATAATGGATTCGACTACTTATGCACATTTAATGCTGAAATTAGTTTTCTTGGGAGCGTTGAAGTAATAAAAATATCACGTTATTCACAATAGAATACAAGGTAGATGATACTCAGCTTTTGTGCATATACATGTTTGTTTGGACATAATTACTAGGAGGCGGTGATATGAAAGTTTTATGTTGTAGTTTTGTTGAAGTTATATTGTGGAATACATTTTGAATTCTTTAAGAAATTGTAGGATAATATATGGATTAATGTCATGAAAGAGTATATTCATGACGATTGTTTGGTTGATTTTGTTTAGCGGCATATCAATCTCTAGGGGTTATTTAATATTGAAATCTAAATATTTGGAACGCAATTGCATGCTTTTAACTTCAGATAAAATGTATTGTTGGTCATTTTGCTATAAAACATATTGCTGATCACTTTACCATAAATATGCATTGCTGGTAATTTTACAATAAACATGTATTGCTGTTCATTTTACTATAGATATGTATTGCCAGTCATTGTACTATAAATATGTATTGCTGGTCATTTTAATATAAATATGTATTGCCGGTCACTTTACTATAAATATGTATTGTTGGTCATTGTACTATAAATATGTATTGCTGGTCATTTTACTATAAATATGTACTGCTTGTCATTTTAATATAAATATGTATTGCTGGTCATTTTATTATAAATATGTATTGATGGTCATTTTATTATAAATATATATTGCTGGTCATTTTACTATAAATATGTACTGCTGATCATTTTAATATAAATATGCATTGCTGGTCATTTTATTATAAATATGTATTGATGGCCATTTTATTATAAATGTATATTGCTGGTAATTTTTCTATAAACATGTATTGCTGTTCATTTTACTATAGATAATATAAATATGTATTGCCGGTCACTTTACTATTAATATCTATTGTTGGTCATTTTACTATAAATATGTATTGCTGGTCATTTTACTATAAATATGTATTGCCGGTCACTTTACTATAAATATGTATTACCGGTCACTTTACTATAAATATGTATTGTTGGTCATTTCACAATAAATATGTATTGCTGGTCATTTTGCTATAAAATGCATTGTCAGTCATTTCACAATAAATATGTATTGCTGGTCATTTTGCTATAAAATGCATTGTCAGTCATTTCACAATAAATATGTATTGCTGGTCATTTTGCTATAAAATGCATTGTCAGTCATTTCACAATAAATATGTATTGCTGGTCATTTTACTATAAATATGTATTGCTGGTCATTTTACTATAAATATGTATTGCCGGTCACTTTACTATAAATATGTATTGTTGGTCATTTTACTATAAATATGTATTGCTGGTCATTGTACTATAAATATGTATTGCTGATCATTTTATTATAAATATGTATTGCTGGTCACTTTACTATAAATATGTATTGATGGTCATTTTACTATAAATATGTATTGCCGGTCACTTTACTATAAATATGTATTGCTGGTCATTTTACTATAAATATGTATTGCCGGTCACTTTACTATAAATATGTATTGCTGGTCATTGTACTATAAATATGTATTGCTGATCATTTTATTATAAATATGTATTGATGGTCACTTTACTATAAATATGTATTGATGGTCATTTTACTATAAATATGTATTGATGGTCATTTACTATAAATATGTATCACTGGTAATTTCATTATAAATATGTATTGATGGTCATTTTATTATAAATATGTATTTTATACTTTCATAGTATTTCGTTTTTCTTTGGGCGTTCTCTATTTACACAGTGCTTGGACCCTAACAGGTGTTACCACCTCGGGTCAGGGTGGACCTGGGAACAATAGAAATTAAAATGAGGTTCTACGCTCCTCAAAACCTATAACCTTGTTGCTGGATGTAATTTATTTTCATACAGAGGACTATAATTTTCTTTTAATTTATATAAATCTAGATTGATTTTATGATCCGCATGAATGAGCAGCATCAACCACATTTGAACTACTAATTGGTTGAATGCTTTAAACTAAAGATAAAAAAAACAGTTTCCACTGTTATGTCACTAGGACGCCATTATTCAACCTTCCAGAAAGATTGGTCAATAAGCTTCAATTATCTTCCATAGAGTTATCATCTATGACGTCATATTTTTGACGTCACTATAAAGTACGTACAAAATATTACTAAAAGTCATCATTTCTTTCAAATTTATCAAACAGATAAGACTTCATAGGAATTCACAAATAAATCATGTTCAAAAGAGAGAGAAGTCTTATTGTTAGGGAACTGTGGTCTGTCGAAGAAGAACGACTTATTTGAACAGCCGTGGCTTATAACGTTAAGAGATTTACAGTCACAGAGAACCATTGCAACGATGAATTCTTGAAACTATAGTTACCTTTCAAGACAAAGGTTAAAGACTCATATATTGACGCAGAAAATTGGTAATCTCTTTGCAATGTTCCTAAAGTCATCTTCGTAATTGAAACAAAAAAAAAAAAAACAAAAAAAGAAAAAGAATGGCAAACGAGAGACGTCTGTCTTGGGTGAATCTAATGATGAAATATTTCTGCGTTATCATCCCAGAAGAAGAATTCAATGAAGCTCCCTGTGTTGTTGAATGCGAGGAAGAGGTACTCAGTCCTAAGGTCATATACGTCACTTCCGCCACGCCGTGTAATGAGTATCTGACGGAAAATACGGCAAAGAGGAATATACCTGAAGTTACAGGCGGTGGCATAGGTCCCCTGAGAGAAGCCAAGAGGTTGAATTTATATAAGAATATGAACCAGAATGCCGAAGACTCTTTTGGGATGCGCAATTCCAAAGTCAGGACAAATGACAGTGCATTTTACTTAATCCTTATTGTTAGTTTCTACTTGTTAGGTTTGAGTTGCTTGACCATCGCCATTTTCTCTCGTACTATGATAACAGTTTTGATTTTAATCGTAACAGGTAGTCTGTGTGCTGGTTTGGCATCAGTCGCACTATATCATATTAAAAAAGTAAAAGATAAAATTGAAACGGTGTATACAATCTCTTCTAGTAAACACCACTTTCCAAAAGTTACCTTTCCATCATCGGAACTTAGAAGTGTAAAATGATGACCGGCATATTTGTAGCATTCCTGATAGTTCTGACGATTTTGTTTCATGATTTCATAATAAAATTCCCATTGAAATCGTAGAACTAAAACATATTTGTTATGACTTTGTCTTTAAAACTTTATTCTAGAACTACCAGATGTACTAGAGAAATGGGGTTACCTGCCAGAGTCTGTGGAATAGTGTCAGTCACGTTCGACCAAATATAAACGGGTGTAGTTGGGTGTGATTCACCAGGATATCCTTTGTTATCCACACTGTCTAAGATCATAAGCGTTTAGTGATTCATTGTGTACCTAACGAAACTCGGGGTTCTTGTTAAGTTGTGATTTTTCTGTTGCTGCTTCACTGGAAATTCAAAACGATGGGAATTCACTTGTCGGAAATAATAACCAAACGCCAGAGTATGATTAAAGGGAATGTAGTTCTTGGAGAAATAGACTGAAGAGCTAATGAAGAAAAATAACTTCTCAACCATTACACCTTCATATTGCTTCTTCAACATCGTCATTTTTCCTCCTCCTCATTTTCCTCTTCCTCTTTCTTCTTCTTCTTCTTCTTCTTCTTCTTCATTCCTAGTCCACCTCTTTCTATTCTCCTTCTCATCCTTCTTCTTCTCCTCATCCTTCTGCCCTCGTCCTTCTTGCTCCTCATATTTGCTCCTACTCTCTTTTCCCTTCTTTTTTTACTTTTATTCTTCTTATTCTCTTCATCCGTAGAGACCCTATTCATATCTCCTCCTTTTCCTCCTCCTTTTTAATTTTCTTCTTCGTCTTCTCTTTCTTCTTTTTCTCCTCCTCCTCCTTTCCTCCTCCTCCTCCTCTTTTTCCTCCTCCTCCTTCTTCTTTCCCACTTTTTCCTCCGCCTCATTCTTCTTTCCCCCTTTTTCCTCCCCCTCCTCCTCCTTTTCTTCTTCTTTGTCACTGATGTAGACAACGTGAAACCCGAATCCGATTTGCCTCCGGTTTTTTTTTTTTTTTTTTTAGGAAGAATCAACTCTCATTTTTAACTTCGTAGTTGTTCCTCGAACTGCATAATTTCTATTGTTTACGACTCCTAATTTTCGTTTTTTCTTGTCAGACCCGCGCTAGCTTTCACCTGTCGAGTTCTCAGGTAAATAGAGTAGCTAAAACTAATAATCGAATGATTTATTTCCGGTTAGTGAGACTGACCTAATTCTCTGTTTTTTTTTTAAATATTTTTTCTAACCCAGTTTTTCCAGCGTGTAATGATTTTATAAACATTGAACATGTATTATTTACTTATATTATATTATTTAACGCATTAAGATAATCATAATTTTTAATTCTCAGCTGATAGATATGTCTTTGAAACATTTCATTTTGAATAATATTTGACTCTTGGGCCACACAAAAGTTATTTTACCAGAGATGTAAGTTTACATAGTCAGAGGATGGCAGTAGCACATCTGAAACACACACGCACACACACACACACACACACACACACACACACACACACACACACACACACACACACACACACACACACACACACACACATATATATATATATATGCGCACGCATTGTAGCTGAAGTGTTTCTTGCATTCACTTTACATTATGGTAAAACAAGCACTAAGAAAATCCAATCAAAGGTTGGTGATACATTTGTGGGGTGGAAGACGCTAGATTTGTATCTATACAGTTCAGGGGCGTTAGGATTGTGTTTTGGTATGCAAGGGGACGTTTGGGGACTACTGATCTAGATCAACTTTGTATAGCCTATGTCGTTCTCAGCAATGCCCTGTCCGCTGGCAAAAGCTGCTGGTGGCACCAGGGGTAGCAGTACCGCCTTAGCCACCGAAACTGATTTGCCTCCCTTGGTTGGCGGCTGACGAGATCAAGGTATCACACGTGCTTTCACACGTTGTATGTAGAGAAATGTCACTCTCTTTTTCTTAGCCTATCTGTGTGCCATGTTTAGTTGAAATCAATCTGATAGTTTCTACGTCCATTTTATTTGTATAGATTGCAATTTATAATTACACCAGGAGATCGTTTATGAAGATTTTTTCCAATGATACGACGATATAAGGGCGCACCTCCAAAACTCTTGACAATCAGATATTGACAGCTGATCTCCGATCTAGCAATAACTTTCTAAAGAATGAAAAAACTGCCTGGTTACATTCTATCACCGCCGTTCGGACCCCGAACTACCGCAAGTTACGATAAACAGATTTCCCCTCGAGAAGCGCCTTGAGTGAATATTGGACCTCATACTCACACCTGACCTCAAGTGGAACTCGTGCATACAATCCGTAGCTAAAGATGCAGGTAGAATGGTTGGCTCCATATACTAATCTGGTAAGTAACTGACGCCTCATAATATCCTCTACCATTACAGGAAGCCAGATCAGACCAAAAATGGTGTACTGTTGTGATATTTGGGTGGAAGCTGCCCAGTCCTCACTTTCCTGTCTTGATAGAGTTCGCCGAGTCCTAAAATATATAATGATAGTGGAACGTACTCGGATTAAAAAAAATGAAATTTGGAAAGCTTACCAATGTTAATTTTGACATAAAAGAAAACTTAGTCGAAAAAAAAAAAACAACAAAAAAACACACTGCACACTTTCTCTGTTCGCTTCCCAAAATAGATTTCATCTACTTCAATAGCTATATCGCTTCCACCAAGTTAACTGGATGTTCTTTGAATTCCGTCCTGAAGTTTCTTGACAATAATATGCAGGGCTTACCAAATTGATATTCCAGCTTCAATAGAAATAAAACAAAAAGTGGCACTTGAACAAGATTCAATATGGAGTAATTTGAAAAAAAAAAAGAAAAAGAAACCTACTCTTACAAATGCTCTTTTTTGACATGAATTACAATTCCATACGTATTTGTTAACTAAAATATCCTTTCTGTTTAGTCCACGTTTACAATTTGGGCATTGAAATCGATTGACAATTAACCAATGCTTTGCCAACCATTCTAAAGCACACACTTTGCCAGCTTTCCCAATAGCTTTGGTCATGATGCTCAGTGTCCGCACTTCATTTAAGATTTCTTGAGTCAGTACTTAGCGAAATATAGAAAATCTGTCGGCAGATTTTCTAGGCATTTTTAAAAATTAGCAACCGTTTAAAACTTTTTCAAAACTGTGTTTTTTAAAAACGGAAGAGTGTTAACCTATGTTTGCTGGAGTTTCATGTCTTGTACTTCAAGATCACGATTAAAAAAAAAAATTAAAACAAGATGTAATCTGAGATATAAAATAATTGGAGAAGAAAATGTATTAAGTCAGGAAAATCTATGTTTATTCATATATATATATATATATATATATATATATATATATATATATATATATATAAAAATTATGAATTATGATATAATTATGAATTGATATATGCAATTATCAATATAAAAATACTTGTTTTTATACTTATTTATAAAATGGTAAATGATAAATATTGCATTGTAAATGGTTTATATATTTTCATAATTTTTTAATTTCTTTTAAATGTTTGAATAAAAAAGATTTATTTTCACATTTCTTTCTTTATAAAATGGTAAATAATCAATCTTTATAAAAGATAAATCATTTTTATAATCTTGTAAAAACATTGCGGAGCTAGTGAATGCAATTAAAATAATAGCGGTGTCTATAGAAAAACAGCTCTTTTTTGACAGTATGTCTTATTGTGGACACGTTTATCCATTTTTGTCGTAGTTTTTTGCTAGGGAAAAGAGTAAGAGAGTAGTAGTAAAGTCAGTAGGCTTTGAAAAAAAAAGTCGTTGAAACATTGCAAACCCATATTAAGTTCAAATGCAGTCGGCGATAAAATATGTTTGCTTATTTCTCAATAAGTTATGTCAATTCAGAGCTGAAAAAAAAAAAAAAAATAAAAAATAAAAATAAATGACGTCCAAAAAAAAAAAAAAAAATTAAACTACAGGGTGGTCTGAAAGTCTTGTCACCCCATACTAAAAAGTAATGAGAACAATAGAAGAATAAGTAATAAGGTAAAGCAGATGTACTGGATTCAGTTTATTCACTTTTATTGACGCTGTCACACATCGAGAAGGTCTGTAGAAATGCCATCATTTTCGTGGTACAAAATGATGCGACGCCAATGTCCTTGTGTGATATATTACGAAGCTATGCTTTGCTGATTGTTGCAAAGGCACTCCGGACGGCGTCCTTCAACTTGCCGGTATTCTAGTATCAATCATGTGAAACTCTCTCCTTGATAAAACCCCCACAGAGAAACAGAAAATTATATTATGTAGGGATGACAAGACTTTCGGACCACCCTGTATCTGTCAATTCAGAGCTGAATAAACAGACAAATTTGTGGTAAACCATCAACGCCTACGACCAGAACGAAGATGGCGTCCAAAAAATTAAACTATAGGGTGGTCTGAAAGTCTTGTCACGCATACCAAGACATTCGGACCACCCTGTATATGTAAAATTTTATTAAAACTAGTCCGTTTTTTTTTTTTATTTAAGCCCGTAATAGATCATGCACGCGCAGGGTAAAAGACAGAACAAATGGGAGGAATAAATACGACAGAAAGAAAAAAGAAAAGATGAAAGTAAGTCGAATAGAGCAGGAAACAAATAGAGGCGAGACTGTAAGGAAATGATAATGATGATAATGATAATGATGATGATAATGATAATGATAATAATGATAATGATGATAATGATGATGATGATAATGATAATGATGATAATGATAATGATGATAATGATGATAATGATAATGATGATAATGATAATGATAATAATGATAATAATGATAATGATAATAATGATAATGATGATAATGATGATAATGATAATGATGATAATGATAATGATGATAATGATAATGATAATGATGATAATGATAATGATAATAATGATAATGATGATAATGATAATGATGATAATGATGATAATGATAATGATGATAATGATAATAAGTCTATTGCTACTTTCAAGTCTATAAACCTTGGAATCACTTCGAGTGCTAAAAGCAATAAAACGATATTGATAACCTCAACACTCTCGTGTCAATAGGCGAGAACTATGAATAATGAATTGAATATATTCAGTAAAATCTTGAGTGGTTTGCTGCATTAAGACTGATTGCTAAGTATCTGTATTTTCGTTATTTTATACAAACCAGTTTACCTGAACTAGACGCTGTCTCGTGAGGTTATGGCCATCAAGTCTCGCAGATTATCCATCATAAGTCTGATCATCCTCGGGTATTATATATATATATATATATATATATATATATATATATATACAAATGTTTAGAGGTACAAAATTTATATACAGTTTTAAAACCAAGGAATTTATTGATTTTAATTTTATTAGTCTCTAAGGCCCTTTCCACCAACATCTCATCAGAAGACAATCGTTGGATCATTAATTAACGAAAAGAACAGTAACGAAAATAAAGAGCAAAAAAATGGGTGGGAGGAAACTAAAATAACAAACAAGTGTCTATACTTGTAACGAGGGGAGGGGAAATAACGTGTACATAAATTAGCGAGGGACAGTTAAAATAAAATATCCCCCAACAGATTAAGGGACATTACAAATTCTTTCTGCCGGCAAAGAGAAGGTTTCCTTAATCCTATACAGACTGATTCCAAAATCTTCAAATGATTGTTGGAATCAGCCGTATGGATGATTTTAAACCACTCTTTTGTATACGACTTGGCACAGGCTATATTCTCAACTAAGTGTTGAGCAATAGCCGAATCCATATTTATGGGGGAAAGATAACACATTTTATCTATCTTACCAAGTCGTATTTTGGAAGGTACATTCTAGTTTCCAAATGCAAGGTTGTACGCCCTACATAACCAGCAGCACACTGGCAATTAAACTCATACAATAAATTACTCAATTTGATGTAGAGCAATTCATCTTTGCGAAACGACGGAAACACAGACCTAGTTCGAAAAATGCTACGTAAAGCAACTGATGGGAAACAACCAGAAACCGACTTGCTAACCTGCTTAATTAAGCCTTGACCCCTATCCCCAATCCAGGGAATCTTCAAATACACCGGACATTTAGAAGGCCCCTGGACTTTAGGGGAATGAAATTCCTTAGTCTTCTTACTAATAATATAGTCAATAAGGGCCTCCGGATAGCCATTACTGAGGAAAATCTCCCTAATGTTCTCAAATTCACCGGTAAATCTAGTAGGAGAACAAATTTTGAGCGCTCTGTACACCAAGGTTTTACCAAGATTGATTTTCCTTGATGTAGGTGCAAACGAACGCCAATTCAAATAGAGGCCCGTAAAAGGTGGGTTTGCGATAAATACTTGTAAGAAAACCCCTCTACATATATATATATATATATATATATATATATATATATATATATATATATATATATATATATATGCCCTTGTACTATCTATCAAGTCAGTTAATTATTGAAATCTATTCACTACTATTTATCTAATTATGGGCCTCTCGAGGTGGTGTAATGGTTAGCAAACTTGTCTCGGTAGAACAATTACGACTTGGTAGTGAGTTAGATCCTTACCGAGTGACAATACTTTAGGTCTTGTTCCACATTTAAGCTGCGCTTGGAAAATCCTTATCTGTCAAGGGGAGTTCATTATCGAATTCTTATCGTTACTATCTATATTTTTTTTTATAGTACATTTTTAATAATTTCGCGAAAAGCAAGGTGATAATGTCACTAGGATGCAATTGGTTATTGAAAGAGAATGAAAAGACTTTAGTGAGGAGAAAGGAAAATAACAACCAGCATTCGGAAAACAGAAGATGGCGATTAGCCTTGCATTTATACACTTGATGGTTAGAAGGGAGTTCCATAGGCGAGAGGTGCGAGAAAAGAACTATTAGAATAGCAGTTACAGTTCTATCTATCTATCTATCTATCTATCTATCTATCTATCTATCTATCTACCCAAGTTCGGTATCTATCTATCTATCTATCTATCTATCTATCTATCTATGTATTAAAAAAAAGTATATATATTTAAATATTTATTAATTTTTGCGGTTTCTCTTTCGCTTATCCTAATTGCCAATATTATAACTTTTGAATGCTGGGAACATTAAAACTGATTAATTATTTATCTCTGGGGAAAACCGTGAGTAACTGAAACCGCGAATAAAAGTGACCGCCGTATTGCGCAAAATGCGCTTACTTTAGAGCAAACTAGTCTCGTATGGGTTTCTTCACTCTTGCAGCTCTATGGCAGAAGAAGGTGAGCTAAGTAAATATCTAGGCCTGCTTAAATGAATGAGCCTGTTGCATTTTCCATTAACGTCAGCTGTCTGTATTTGAAACAAAACCTGAATTTTTAAAGCTGATTTTCTAGCAAGGCAGACCTTTCGTGGACTTTTTTTCCAGTCAGAGCTAAGCTTCGAAGATATATACACCACTAACAATGGTCTGCGAGTTTAATTTGTTTCCTGTTGTTTTACAGTAGGCACACTCTATACTTATTGTAACCTAGAAATGGTTACTGAATGAGGAATAACTAGGATGGAGGTTGGAAATGAAATGGTAATCTTTATAACATCAACAAAATACAATACTCGCCAACGGCGTGAAGTAGGTAAACAACTGCTAGCGGTGGACTATTTAGACAGTATAGTACCCCCACTTACAATAGTGTCCAACGTATTCATGAGGATTGGGACATACCCATTCGTGTTCATAGGTACGGTATATAACAATAGCTTTATACGCAGAAATCTACCATTCGTCCGGGCATTGAATACAATTGCCATAACTAGTCTGGTCCTCCTGCCTTACGTCTTGCGATTCTTAACAAATTCCAAAGAAGGGTCTGTAATGTAATCGATCCTGATCAGATATTCCGACTTCAGTCACTTTCTCACCAAACCGACATGATATAACTTCCTTTTATCTTTTCTACAAATATTTTTATGGCAACTGCTCCGATGAGCTTTCTTCTCCTGGTGTCTCGACTGCATGAATAAAATCGTGCTACTAGATTGGCAACTGGCTCTCACGGCTTTTCTGTTGCTAGATGCAACCCCCACTTCTACTCTAACAGTTTCTTTTCTCGCACTTCGCACCTGTGGGACACCCTATTTATTCTTTCCCTGTTAACAACAATCTTCAGAAATTTAAATGCAACTTCAGTCGCCATCTTCCGTCTTCTTGAACCTTGTTCTTTTTTTTGTCCTTTCCTCAGTCCTCCCTATTATCAATCTTATCTTCTTTCACTTCCCCTCCCTGTAATCCCCCGCAATCTAGAGGCATTGTTGCTCTGCTTTAGGTGAAACAAATAAAAAACAAAAGAAAAAAATTCTTGTAATAAGGTTTCTATTTGTTTGATATTCAGTTTGGAAAATACATCGATAATTTTTTTTTTTTTTTTTTTTAGTGCCAAATTAGTCGGATGTTTACTTTCAAGCCCGCGTGTCAGGGTGAGGCCAACAGTCCAGACCCGACAGGATCCAGACAATTTAACTCTATTCATCGATTTTTTCTCTCACCTGTTGCTCCACCCGACCGGCCATTTCAACTTTCTTTTGTGCTGTCTCTATCCGTTGCCACATGTATTCCGCTACACTTGCTTACAACAAGTCGTTGAGGGTAAGTAAATAAATCGAATCTAACTTGAAAGCCAAGATAATTGTATTTGTTGTTCGGAGGCAAGGAAAAGAAAAAGAGAAACCCAGAGGACAGAGAATGGAACAGATTTTGAGAAGCAAAATGGCGTTAATATTTCAAATATGGCGGGTGAAGTATAATGTGTTTTAACATGCTTGCTTCTTTTATATTTTATTATTATTATTATTATTATTATTATTATTATTATTATTATTATTATATCCACAAATTCTCATTTTCTATTTTTAAACGCTGAATTCTGGTCTCTCAATTGTTCTGTTTTTTTTTTTTTACTTTGTATTCGTTTCATTTAGAATAGGGCTGTTTTCTGTTTAGTTACATCTTTTTCTTTCTGCATCTTGAGATTAACAAAAGCTTGGGTTAATATGACTCAAGGCCAAATAAAAAGGAAACTGGTGAAGTAGGGAGGGCCTAGATGACTACAGAATCAATCTTTACTAAGCTCAGTTTATCACAGCGTAAGGTTACTACTGTAAGACACCTAGTGAGAATCAAACCAACTCTAGTAATAATGGTCTACTTCACGGTAACGAGTTTTCCTGTTGAATATAATGAGTAGTGTAATGGAGAGTGGCTCGGAATAAGAAGTTGAGAATCAAGTTCGAATTCCAGTCGGGTTCAATGTATTTACTTATGCGCAAATAGTCTTGGGAAAAGCGTAAATTCATTTACTCTCACTAAGTTATAAATTACGTAGTAGGATTTGCATCGTATCTAGAAAAATCATTGTTATTCTCAAAAGATTGTTAATGCAATATCCACTTACAAAAAATAATCTTACAATCCAAAATATGTTTCAGTTTTAAATAACCCACAAAAGGTTGGTAAACCGTAAAAAGAGAAAGATTTTCTATATTTTGTTACGTTTTTATCTTTCGCTTCCTGACATTAAACTTTAAAAAATAAATTTTTTGAATCTTTCTTTCTTTGAATCTTTTTTTTCATCTTTTTTTCTTAGAATATTTTTTGAATCTTTCTTTAAATTTTTCTTTCTCGCTTTCTTTCTTCTTTGTGTTTATTCATTTTTGTTTTGTCTTTCAATTGTTTTTCTTTTTTCATTCATTGATTAAATGGTGTTTTGACAATATTTAACGATGGTCTTTCACCACCAAATTCGGCATAAAGAACCCCCCCAAAAAAAAATCCCCTAAAAAACCAACAACAAAAAATGAAAGATAATAATAATAATAATAATAATAATAATAATAACTTGCATAGATTTCTTTCTATGCAATGACCGCAACTCTGATTGCATGGCACCTCATCTCTTTGTATCTTCTGATATAAATCTTGTTATCTTTAGTTGTGACCGGGGCCAACTCGTACTAAACGAAACAAAGATACTACTACTACTACTACTGCTTGTTATTATTATTATTATTATTATTATTATAACAATAATAATAATAATAATGTTAATAATGATAATGATGATGATAAAGACGAAATAAAAAAAGCAGACTAAATAAAACAGTGTAATTCTCACGCCATAACTAAGATATATCATCATCACCTTCATCTTCTTCTTCTTAAAAATCCCAGTTTTCTCCACTTGCCTCTTAGTTTCACTTTTTCCTTTCTGTTCCTTTCGAATAGCAAATGTAAATGCTCAACAGACAGACCGTCCTCAACTTTGGCAGCCATATTTTTATTGCTTTTAGAATTACTTTTCTTCTGTCATAACGGCAAGACGAAAAAGAAAAAAAAAACTTGTAAGTCAACAGCTTTGTAGCGATTCGCACATAGAATTTATGAAAAGAAAACATGGCTACAGGCAAATTCAAAGGCGAGGTGTGTGTGTGTGTGTGTGTGTGTGTGTGTGTGTGTGTGTGTGTCCATATTACTCTTCAACTAACTTCCATTGGTCTTAAGTTTACACGTCCCGGTTAATTTCATAGTGACCTTAGACACGTGCGCTAATAAATCAATGTAAACGAATGGGACGTGCAGCATATCCGAGGACAGTTTTTCTTTCCTTCTCAGCCTTTTACTCTCATCTCTGTCCGATGGAGACACCGATTTAAGGGTACATAGGCTGGTACGCAGGTAAGGTTGACAGGTGTGTATAGCGTTTCCTTGTTATCAAAGAAAACGGATTTTCTGTACATTTTTTGTTCGCCTTTGTTTAAAAACATTGTTTTTTTTTAACTAATGTTCTCAATACAAGACCCTAGAGACACTCAAAGTAGAGGGTTACTGAATGATTTTATTGTGTGAGCGTAACAAGAGGAGGTAAGAAGTGCAGTTTATGACGATATGTGGGAAAAATAACGCTTAACCTTATACTTGTTTGTAGTGGACAGGAATGTATCCTTTTGGGAGACTGTTCCACAACGTAGCTATTTTGGGGATGAATCTGTCCGAGTAGAATTTCTTCTTAATAATGGAATACGAAGAGAATGGGAATGGTTCGTTCTAGTGTATGTGGCATGGCGGGTTTTAGCAGTAAATGTGTGAACTCATGGAACAATGGAATGTAGCCCATCTAAACATTTGCCATATCAATAGCGACTGAGTAGCGAGAGGCATGTGTCATTTCATTTGTATGGAAAGGGGTTGTAGGGCGGAAAACAATTCATCACCTACAAGGTCGCGTATATACTTTTGATCAACCAACACAAATTGAACGGAGAAAGAAAATATCGCTGTATTGTACACAACTTTACATATGATTGATTTCCTTTTATATTCATTATAAAACGTTCTCTGTGGCTTTATACTCGTGTAGAGCCTAAGGTCAAAGCCGCTAGGTGGTATTGTTTTGGTTTTAGTCGCAAATATGTTTTGCCTTGTTATTTAATCCTACTGAGAGAAGATGGGCGCGTGTTTGAGTGGTTAGAATGTTCGCATTCTGACCATAAGATTCGGGCTCAGCATGGTCGATTCGTCAGGAGACTTCCTTATATTATCGGACGAGAGAGGTCGATCCCAGCGTGCGGCACTTTTGGAAAGTACCTAAAAAAACCATACCACGGGTTGACCAAATGACTCTTGAGATTGAAATTGGGTAGACGGAACCCTTGGAGGACGTCACAAGACATTGTGGCCGAGGGTTTAAGCGCGATAGCCTTGTTCAAATTGTTGATCACGCTAGATAACACGTTCTTTCCCAGTGTGTGTTGAATAAACACAAATGTGCCTGAGCAAGCGTTTACCTTAAAATAGGGATTGGCTCGAATACGAGAGTTAATGAGAAGATATATTTTAAATCATTTTAGCCTAAGAAATACGATAATGCCCGGGGTATTACTGAAAGTTGACTTTACCAGACAGCACAGCTCGGAACTCAGGGTTGGATATTAGGGATGTGGGGACAGCAATGCAAGATCGAGCAGTGCGGAAAGGGATTGTTAATGGAGTCCCGACTAACCACAGGGAGGTCGAAGGATGATGAGGATAATTACTGAAAGTGAAAGAGAATGAGAAGACTTTGGTGAGGAGAAAGAACAATAAAAATAAACAGGATTCAGAAAGACAGAAGATGGCGATTGGCATTGCATTTAAGTTTTAAAGATGGTAGTTGGCAAGGAAGCAAGAAATAGGAAAGGGAGTTTAACAGGCGAGAAGTGCGAGGAAAAAACTATTAGAACGAAACTCCTTCCCCAAAGGTATTTGTATAAAGAGAACGTAACAGCGTCGGCCAGAATTTGAACTCGACACGTCGATCCTATTTTCTGCCCCAATATCCGCTATAAATAAAATCCAATAACCGCTACGAATAGAGTCCAATGCAGCATAGCATCAATTAAGAGATTGAGGCTACATAATATTGGATTGATTTGTTCTTTACGGTTTATCAACCTTTTGCAGATGACTTAGCCAAAAAATATTCTTCGATTTTAAGAACATTTTGCAGATAATAATGATTTACTTATACAAGTCCTACTAATTAACCCATAGCTGGGGGATAATAGGTGGATTCACACCTTTCCATATGTATTTGTGTGTAAATGAATATAACGAACCCGATTAGAATTGGAACACCGCTTTCTGACTTCCAGTTCCAAGCCGTCATCCATTACACTAACCGCAAGTTTATGACACCAAGTGTCGGAAACTTGCCCAACCAAGTGGTTGTCCATTTTGGTACTGACCAAGCTTGACGGTGCTTCAACGGGATATGACCGTAAACCCGCAGTATTGGACTTTATCCCTTAAAATCTAGAGTTCATGGATCGAAATTCTTAGATATCTCCGCAATTCTTCAGGAATTTCTATTTTTTGTTCGACGTATGATGAATTGGCAATGCTAGATCGCATCGCCAATTAACATGTAACACGTGATATAATATATATATATATATATATATATATATATATATATATATATATTATGTATATGTATACATAATGTGTTACATGATATTACTACTACCCCTCCCCCGAAAAAAAACCCAGAAAAACAAAAACAAAAACAAAAACTTTTACATACAAGATGAAAATGTTTAATAAACTATGTTTTTCTTTTAATATACTTCTTGCAAAAGTAAATATATAAGACAAATATGTATAAGACTATTTAATCTTTATTTACTTACACCTTTTAATTAATTATTACTTTTAATTATTTTATCTAGTATCTTATAATTTTTTTATAATTTCCTGAAGGAACATAGCATTAAAAATCTAATAATTGTATCTTTTTCATTATGGAACGCTTGAGTCATTAAAAATCTAATAATTGTATCTTTTTCATTATGGAACGCTTGAGTCATTAAAAATCTAATAATTGTATCTTTTTCATTATGGAACGCTTGAGTCATTAAAAATCTAATAATTGTATCTTTTTCATTATGGAACGCTTGAGTCATTTGGCTTTAATAAATAAGTAAAAATTATTCTCCTTGAAACTTCCATATCCAAATTTCCTCATTTGAGTGCATATTAAGAAGAATGAATGGGAAATAAACAAAAATAAAATATGCGGGTAGTGTAACGGCTTTCGACACAGAAAACTTAATCGGCGAGCCGAGCTCAAATTCTGTACTAGTGTGTTAAGTTTACTTTCGCAATAAATATTTTTGAGGAAGACATAAATCCGTATATTCTCCATCTAGCTATGATTTAAATAGCAGAAAAGGCTGAACTCTCTAGTCATGAGTGGCAACCAATCTAAAGTAAGCATAAATCTGAATTTCAAACCGTAGAGAAGGCAACGGGAAAACACTTGACCGCCTTTTCTAAGAATGAATGGTAATTCACAGACAAATACAGAAAAGGAACCGTCCTGGGTATGACGATAAACTACGTCTAAGAGCACGGCCTCTGACCAGGAGATTTTGAGGAGTGTGAAACCAACTCATAATTGCAGGTGTTCCCAGGTCCACCCTGACCCAGGGTGGTATCACCTGTTAGGGTCCCAGCCATGGGCAAATAGTTAACCCTCCAAACTGGGGTCAAAACACTATGAAAGTATAAAAATAGGTTTTAATACCAGAAATACTTTGTAAAAATGATTACCAGCAATAATTTTTGAAAAGGGATATTACCAGCTATACATTTTTGAAAAAAATATTACCAGCTATATATTTTTGAAAAAATATTACCAGCAATACATTTTTGAAAAAAAAAAAAAATTACTAGCTATACGTTTTTGAAAAAAAATATTACCAGCTATACATTTTAGAAAAAAATATTACCAGCAATACATTTTTGAAAAAAAAATATTACCAGCCATATATTTTAGGAAAAAAATACCAGCAATACATTTTAGAAAAAAAAACCCCAAAAAACAGCAATACATTTCTGAAAAAAAAAAATTACCCGCGACAAAAATCTTCATGTCATTAAATAACCCTTTGAGGTTGATATCCCACAAAACATAAACCAAACCAGAAAAAGGAATCTGTGGAGAGATTTGAACGCTTATGCCTTGAAAAGATATGGAATTAAGAAAACATCAGTTTTTGAAATGTACAAATTATATATTTTTAAGTAATTAAAATAAATTACATAAACGACAATATGATCAATTGTCTTTTATTTTAATTTAATTCTAAATTTTAATGGAAGTATCAACAGAATTAAATCGATGTTCGTAACGTTTTCCTATCATTTGTTAAAATAAAAATGGTATCGAACGTGAATCGAAAACAAAATGTTGCAATTATTGACGTCATCCTGCTGAAGCTTCCTATTAAATGAGAAAAAAACAAAAACAAAAAAACAGATTAAATTAAAATAAAGTGAAGTCGGGGATTTGAGTTCAAATCCCGGGCTCGTCCGTCGCGTTCAGTTTCGCCTTTGAGAAAGTTATGAATCTATTTCTATTATGGGTTAAAAAGTAGACTGGAATCTCTAGCCTTGGGCGGCAGTCAATCTGAGAGAAGGAAAACTCTGAATTGCAGACCGTGAAAAAGGCAGCGAGAAACCCCTCCACTATCTTGCCTAAGAATGCATAGCAATTAACAGCTATGATAAGGAAAACACTCAATTGTGAACAGTAGAAAAGGCAATGGGAAACTACTCTAGTAATCCTAACTAAGAATACATGGCAATTAACAGATAAAAAAAGATCGGAATCGCGGCAGAGTCATATTCGCCTACGTCCTGAAGGGACATGGCATTAAACAAAAAAGAAAAAAATATAGCCTCAATTTGAACTCCGTTCACCAACTCCATTCTTTTTGTTGGTAACTGTTTGTCCAACGCAGCAGCTTTAACTGAAGATCGTCAGTTTTGTTAACCGGCATTAAGCAAGTTACAGTTGACA